ATATTAATAGATTTACAACTTTATTCCAAAAACTTAAGTTTTAAAATCTATAAATATTCGTAACTTGACACTGATTTTCGTTATCCAAGTCGAGACTACAACCCAGTTATCTGAATTTATTACTATGTTAACAGTTGCCTGAATCTAAAAAACTGATGACTAGTCAAAATGGCGTTATATTATTTAAACTACGTACCTATTACTTCAACGACTTAATTCAGTCGACTATTCGACTATTTAACTTTCAGTAACTAAATCATGCTTGTATTATAATTATTACTTATAACATAATTTTGTTTCAAATATAATATAACAGATAAAGAATGGGGCCTATCGTATTTTTGCTCAACAGGTGGCGCTAGTGTGAACTCCTCATTCATGAACGTTCAGTATTTGACAACTGCTGTGATTGGACCAAAAATCTTTTCCTACAGTAGCGCCATTTTGTAACTAAAAATACAGTAGTCCCTATTGGCTATGTGAATGAAAAATCTTTTATTATTATCTTTAAAAGAACCTCCTTTTCTTTAGTTTTATTACACATTTGTGGCCTGTTTCACCACCTATATGTATAAGTAAGTGCCCCATAAACATTTGTGGTAGATAGTTTACAAAATTGAATTTTTAATTCTTTGTATGGTACATAGCGGTTATCTATACACAGTAATATAAACGGAACACTTCTGAAAAACGCCGGCAAAGAAAGTTTATTAGGGAATTCATAACATAACATAAAATCACGCCTTTTGTCCCCGAATGGGTAGGCAGAGGTGCTCATTATGCAACTGTACAATGTAACACCCACTTTTCACTATTTATGTTATGAGTCCCATGTAATAGGGGGTGAGCCTATTGCCATATACCGGGCACAATTCCAGACTCCGTGCTACAATTTTTTTTAAAATCCAGTTATACTTTGCCCGACCCAGGAATCGAACCCGAGACCCCGTAAGTATGGAATTCAATGTTTTAAATTATAACATTGTGGCGTATTTTTTGTTCTTGAAAACGCTTGCTCCAAAAAAAAGATCCAAGCGGTGTAAGTGGAGAGCGGTAAATGTAGTTGTAATCAACAGCTCAAGGCTGATGTTGTATGAATGACACGAAAACAAAAACTATTAAAATTGTAAAAACTATTTATTGTTGTCAGCGTTTCGAGAGCGTTTCGTTTACACACTGTATTGAGAAACAGGCTGTTGAATCATATTTTGTCATTTTTTATACAAGTAATACAATGCAAGTTTTTCACCTCTATCTCTGTCACACAAATGTAAGATCTTCATGAAAGACAGAGAGAAAACATTAGGTACCATAGCATACCATAAAAATGTTTTAAGTAATAATTATTTATTTATATCTAATATTAATTTAATGGATATAGGTATCGGGAACTATAATCAATACATGTTAGGATTATCGTTACTTCGACTACTTATTTTTAAAGTATGCAATTCCAGTACTTACTGCAATAAATAAAAATCTAGACAAAATAAAAAATCTAGGCAAACTACAGGATCCTCTAAAACGCTAACTCGAAAATAAATGCAAAGCTTACAATGAAATTATTTGACTAAAATAATAATAAATTACTACTAAAATCAAAATATTTAAAATTAACGTACTTGATATGATAGACAATTGCTTGACAAGATTTTTTTAAAATATTCTTAACTTTATAATAAATTGAAAAATATGTGTTTAAAATATGAGAGCAATAAGTTAAAATGGATGATTTTTATGCTGTTTTGACATAAGGAAAAAACGAAAAAGAAGTCTCGACATCGGTAACGATAATTTTGAATAAAAAACCGAATAAAATTCTTGTCGAGACTCTACCTTCGGAATAGCTTGAAAATCAATAATTTTCTATTTTTTAAATAATAATAAGTACGTATAGTTTTCAATTCCTTAATTCAATTCTTTTAAATTGATGTTCGTAAGCAAAAATAAAAAATTGTTTTCAGTTAGTTTGAGAAAATTAATGAATGCGAAGAGTGAAGAATAGTGAAATAATTATAATTTGTAAAGTGACTGCTCAAAAGGATGGTCAAAGCTCATCAGAGACCTTTATAAAACACGATAAAATTGGACCAAAAAAGCCAAAAAAGAATCTTAGAAATAAATAAGATTGTTTTCGAAAAATATCAGTTATCATTGTGGTAAGCATATCCAAAATTTGTTTTTTTTTGTAACACGTTTCAAAATTATATCCAGATGTTATTTTACCATGGGAGCGGCATTATACCCTGTTACTTAGATTCTCAAAAAAAAAAACAAAAAAGAAAATCGATACACAACCATGGACAATTTTTTTTTTCGTAAATAAAAAAACCATAGTGTAGGCAAATGCTGAAAAAAAAATTAAAACAGCACAAAATTATTTTTAATCTAGTACAATTTTTTTTTGTTTTCTAGATAATGCTATTCCGGTCTTCAAATATTTTTTTTAAATCTAAGGATCAATGTTTTTCAAATTTGCTACGAAACGCTTAGGATAGTAATTTAATAGTAATCCGAATATCTTCCCATAAAATCATAAAATATTTTTGAGAGGACTCGACTCTGTTTAAATCAAGGTAAAGAAAAATAAGACAAGAATAAAAAATCATAAACAAAAAGTTAATCTTATTTTTTATCTATATAAATAAAAATGAAACCCATTTCCCGTTGTCACGCCATAACTTGAGAACGGCTAGACCGATTAAGCTGATTTTTGCTGTATTTATAATTGTCAGGAGAAGGTTCTTATGACAGAAAAAATCCTGAAAATCTTATGGGAATGAGAGAAAACGGGATTGCGAGTACGAAGTCGCGGGCAGAAGCTAATTCAGAAATATAATGAGACGGAAAACAATGTGTTACGAAGTGATTTAACCAAATCAAAAGGTGTCACGTCATCTACAAGATGGACTGACGAACTGATAAAGCTAAGGTCGCAGACGGTCACTGTACGCAGGTTGCTTCCTCGCGATGTGTGGTCGTTAGGGGAGGACTGTCGGATGCCGTGGACAGTAAGTGTCTGATGAGATGATCTCTCATAATTGTGATAGAATGGATAACAGTTCAGCATGTACACACGGCTACACATCGACCTTTACATAACCAGTATAAACTGAACGTTAAATGTGCGGAAAGATGATGCGACGCGACACCAGGATAAACTGGTTTTGTATAAATCGATGTGTGGCCGTGTGTTCTGGGATTTTGACCTGGCATTCTTCTGAAAATATAAAGACTAAAATGCGTACGGTACTCTCATTTCATCCCTTTAGAGCGGGGTGCTGAGCATGACCTTCGGTGCGTCATGTTATTAAGCAGTATTTCTTTTATTAACCTCAGATAAATAGCCTTTACTCATGACGATTTCAGCGTATATTTACCACTAGACAGTGAAACTCGCTATCATCAGTTGGACAGGACGAACTCTATCTAGATGACCTGGTGTCCGCCTAACACTCTCATACTCTGCTACTAAACAGAAAAGTCGACGAAAAACAGAAACAGAAAGTAAATCAAGGGGAAAGAGTCGAAATCCTTTCAAAAACCTTTGTTAAAAGACTCCAATTGATCAGCGGCTAAAAATGTAGCAGCAGCACGCTTCTTAGTCGGGGTCGCACGACTCGGCTGTAGAAGTCGTCGAGAGCGGCGAGGTAGTGCGCGTAGCGGCGCCCGCGCAACCACGCGGCGGCTGCGCGGAGCAGCCCCGCCTCCCGCGCACACTGGCAGCGCCGGTGCGCCGTCCGCACGCTGCGACGCTTCGCTACGGTCCTGCAAAATAATGTACAAGGCGCTAAGAGAGCTGTCTCTTCTAAATTTTTATTCATAACAAGCTGACCTACCAAACTTTGTACCGCCCGAAAATTCCACCTTTTTCTCATCTTTTAAACCTTCCCTGGACTTCCCCGAACATTTCAAGACCAAAATTAGCCAAATCGGTTCAGCCGTTCTCGAGTTTTAGCGAGACTAACGAACGGAAATTCATTTTTATAGATTACTAGCTTTCACCCGCGGCTTCGCTCGCGTCACAAAAGGATAAAAAGTAACCTATGTGACATACCTATACCAATACACACAGCGCCATCTATACCAATAATTTCGTTTTCCCTCGAGAATATCAATTTTTAAAAACTACCCTATTTTTTAATCTAGACTTCTAACTTCACGTCTGCAAAATTTCAAAGCAATCGGTGTAGTAGTTACGGCGTGAAAGTGGAACAAACAAACAAACAAACAAACTCACTTTCCGATTTATAATATTAGTAAGGATGATGGATAAACGAGTCGACGGATCACCTGATGGAAGGTGATCATTATCAACGATGGATATTCGAAAGACTGAACGGACGGAGATAAAAAAGCGGTGTACCATTTTAGGAGGGGCAAAATATAAATCAAACCGACTATTTCAAGCCAGTTTCCGTCGAAACACAATACTTTAGTTGCTTCACATCAGTTATTGGCGAGGCCGTGGTATCGAGCTGGTTCAGTAGTACCGAAGCATGGCTGATGCCGATACGGAGCCGCGGAGGACTTAACGGGTTGCCGGCACTCGAAGGGCAGGAGTAGGCACGGGGTGGTTTTTAGTCAGTAAGCGTTTGAGAATCCCTCCCGTCTCACTCAGGCGGGAGAAGTCATTTGATGATTTTCCCTCCTCAAACAAAATTGCCGAAGCATGGTTCTCCCACGTGTTAAATGGCGATGTGATTGCAAGCGCATTTATCAGTTTTTGGTGAAATAGAAGTCTTCCTCATCTGACTTTTTGACGAACAATATTGACATGTAATTTATTAAAACACGACAAATTCATATTTACTTATCTAACTAATTAATGGATTTAAACTCTTATACGAGTATTTGTATGCCTAAAATAGGCTGATCATAGCGCACTTTAATCTAAAAATGGCTAACCAAATGAACCTATGTATCACAAATAAAGGTTTCATTTCATTACTTTAGTCATACCTAGCGGGTAGAGGTGCATGCGCTGCGTCACTCTGCCGTCATAGAGCGGTGTCGAACATCTGCAGCGACCTGGTTATAACGTCGTCCTTCAGGCATGACTCCAGGAACTCCTCGATCGTGATCACTCCGTCCTGGTTCAGATCTAGCTTCCTGAATACACGATCCACCTGGAAATTGAGAAGCAGTTCCATTCATCATCAGATGGGAGACTACTGAACGAAAGCTTCGTCTGCAAAGGAGCTCTGGTCATAATAATATATAAACATAACATAACATCACGCCTTTTATCCTCGAAGGGGTAGACAGAGGTGCACGTTATACCACTGTACAATGTAACACCCACTTTTCACTATTTATGTTAAGAGTCCCATGTAATAGGGGGTGAGCTTATTGTGATATACTGGGCACAGTTCCAGACTCTGTGCAACTACTGAGAATTAAAAAAAAATCCAGTAATACTTTGCCCGACCCGGGAATCGAACCCGAGACGCCTTGCCCGGCAGTCGCAATTGCGGCCACTCGGTCAATCGAGGCAGTCATAATATATAATAATATATCTAATAAACTATCTACAGAAAAACAGGTTATTGAGAATGATCGTAAAATACTACACATTTGACAGAGACGGAACAGCGGTCTTTAATGTACTCGAACATCTTGTGCTGAGATCTCCAACCCACCAACCAAGTAAGGAAGAAGAAGGTCTTATATAGAGTAGACCCAATCCAGCACAGGACTGTCTTTCAGTTAACCAATACTCACAAATATCGTCATCCTCACCTGTTCATTAGCCTTAGCATCATCAAGCCTGGCGGCCGGAGACCCAGGTGGAGCTCGTCTTCCGAGCAGCTCATGCACAGCTACCACCACCTCCGCCAGTTCCTGCCTGGTGATCGCTCCATCACCATCCACATCGTACAGACGGAAGGCCCAACGAAGACGCTCATAGACAGACCCTCGGAGCAAGGTGGAAAGAGTCACTAGGAGTTCCTGGAAGGTAAGGTATCATCGTCAAACACTGGACATCTATACTACACGAGTCACTGTTTACATGTAAACATTAGCTCCTGACGATACCAGCGTACGTGTGTCACTGGACAGTGAACCTCGCTACCATCAGTTGACTGGACATCTACACTACACGAGTCAGTTACTGTTTACATGTGAACGTTAGCTCTTGATAAGACCAGCGTACGTGTGTCACTGGACAGTGAACCTCGCTACCATCAGTTGACTCGATATCTGCACTACACGAGTCACTGTTTGCATGTGAACATTAGCTCATGACGATACCAGCGTACGTGTGTCACTGGACAGTGAACCTCGCTACCATCAGTTGACTGGACATCTACACTACACGAGTCACTGTTTACATGTGAACATTAGCTCCTGACGATACCAGCGTACGTGTGTCACTGGACAGTGAACCTCGCTACCATCAGTTGACTGGACATCTACACTACACGAGTCATTGTTTACATGTGAATATTAGCTCATGACGATACCCGCGTACGTGTGTCACTGGACGGTGAACCTCGCTACCATCAGTTGACTGGACATCTACACTACACGAGTCACTGTTTACATGTGAACATTAGCTCCTGACGATACCAGCGTACGTGTATCACTGGACAGTGAACCTCGCTACCATCAGTTGACTGGACATCTACACTACACGAGTCACTGTTTACATGTGAATATTAGCTCATGACGATACCAGCGTACGTGTGTCACTGGACGGTGAACCTCGCTACCATCAGTTGACTGGACATCTACACTACACGAGTCACTGTTTACATGTGAACATTAGCTCATGACGATACCACCGTACGTGTGTCACTGGACAGTGAACCTCGCTACCATCAGTTGACTTGACATCTACATTACACGAGTCACTGTTTACATGTGAACATTAGCTCATGACGATACCAGCGTACGTGTGTCACTGGACAGTGAACCTCCATAGAGTTGAAAAAGCGATAAGCGGACAAAACTGCACTTTTATTGATAGCAAAATCGGTCTGGTTGAATAACTATTAAAAAAGTACAATCGTAGCTTAAATTGGCAGTAGATCGTAGCTGTTGAAATTAATTTGAAAAGTTTTAAACTATTGAAGAAGTACGTCGTCGCCCATTAATAATAATTTGTGGAATCGGTTGTCGTGAAGTTAGGTCGGTGGCTGGCACCGAGTGGCGTTGCACCATTTTTGATAACTATTATTTCTAGATTTATACTAGCTACTCTGCGGTTCCACCCGCTCTGCTCGGCTCCTATTGATCGTATCGTGATGATTTATAGCCTATAATCTTCCTCGATAAATGCACTATCTAACACAAAAATAATTTATTCAATTCGTTCCGGAGATGATTATAATTATTTATTTTCAGCCATGATCGTCCCACTACAGGGCAAAGACCTCCCTACTCTCCTTTCACTCCTCTCTATGTAAAGCTTTTTGCGGCCATTATATAAAAACAAAAAATCTCTTCAGTTTTATTCTCCTCATAAGCAGCGTGCGCGGTTGCGGCGATGACTGACTGATACTGAGTAGAACCCCTCTGTGGTTCGAAACTAGTAGAGCTTTTCTCAGTATATTCATGTGAGTAACCCGCGATTTGTGTTGGGGTAAACCCTTATTTTAGGTGATACATAGCGCTAACTAGCTAAAAGTTAATGTTGCATTTAAATTGTGCATCTCTGCCTATCCTTTTCATCATGATGCCTATCCTTTTGATCAAAGAACAAAACATGTAATGAAATATCCTCCATTTCAATTTTTTACACAAATATTATTTCACCCTTATACTTAAAGAAATAAGGTTTCAAATTAAGTGAAAGGCGTATACGATAGTTTACTTTGAAAGCTTTTGTTACACAACCACTATTTTGCCCTTATCCCAATAGAGACAAGGTTTAAAATCAAGTGAAAGGTGTATACGACAGTTTAGTTAGAAACTATTCGCAAATGGGTCGCGCGTTCGATTTCCGTAGCGGAAGAAAAATAATGACTGGATTTCGGAAGCAAATATACTATGTATCTTACATGTTGTGTACTATATAAAACGTCATACCTTTTTATCGCTAAGGGGATGGGCAGAAGTGCACATAATACGGTGTAACATCAACTTTACACCGATTATGTTATGAATCCCGTGTAATAGGGCTTTTTTTTGAGGGGGAAAATCATCCAATGACTTCTCTCGCCCGGAAGAGGCGACTGACAGCTAGCTAAGGAGGAGGGGATACCAATGGGAAGATACTACCATCAGTACCATTCATCTGCTCGTTCACCTCCTATTCCATAAAAAAATAGTAAAAGTGGTGAAGAATGTTCTAATTTGCCCAGCTTACACTGAGTTGGCGAGCCTTTTCGTCGTGGACATGCTGCCACCCTGTCTCTTTTATTTTGCTTTTTTATGTTTTTTTTCCTTCATTGTTTTTTACTGCTGTTTTTTTGTTATTTTATTTTCTTATTGTTTTTTTTTATTTTTGTTTTTCAATATCAGACCCAGTAAAAATATAGTAGGTAGTATAAGATTTTAGGTGCAGTGTATCTCTGCCATCTCTTCATCATCAACAGCCTATAAATGCCCACTGCTGAGCAAAGCTACTACTCGTACAAAGAAGATTTGAGGATTAATCACCACGCTTGCTCAATGCGGAGTGACGATCTCAAATTTATAATTAGAAATTATATGCCCAGGTTTCCTCACGATGTTTTCCTTCACCGTTTGTCAGTGGTGTCTAAACAATCTTAGAAAGTACATATAACTCGGAAGTCGTCACATTGGTACTTGCCGATGGTAGATTTTGAACCCGTATTCTCATGCATGAGAAGCGGGCGTCTTAAATCTCCTGGCTACGACCATCTCTTCATCACATCAAAAACCATATCGATACTCATCACTCCTATTGCTGAACACTTCAAAGCATATATATTTTATCTGGTAATCCACTCTGATCAAGACGGATGGCTTACAAAGCTGTTGGCAATCCTGACTGGCTGTAAGCCAACATAGGGAAACTCGGAGATTTAAAGGATTAGAGTAGCATCGTATCGTACTGATATTGTTAATACGAAAGTTTGTTCATGCCTTATATTCATGGATTTTTTTTAAGGGGGGAAAATCTTCGAATGACTGCTCCCGCCTGGGTGAGGCGGGCGGGAGGATCAGACTCAGTGGCGTAGCGTATCTTGGCGGGGCCCCGTATAAAAATTTGTTTGGGGCCTTTTATGAAAGGTAAAAACTCAAAAGAGATATGTTTTACATAAAATACCTCCTCTACGCAAATTATCGGACAATGATTAGATACTTTCGTTTTTCCAAAGTTTCTGCCCTGGAATAGATTTGTCTATTCCATGGTTTCTGCCAACCTTTGATCGCATGCATTTTGTGATTAATTAACTTAACATAACATAACATAACATCACGCCTTTTATCCCCGAAGGGGTAGGCAGAGGTGCACATTATGCCACTGTACAATGTAACACCCACTTTTCACTATTTATGTTATGAGTCCCATGTAATAGGGGGTGAGCCTATTGCCATATACCGGGCACAATTCCAGACTCCGTGCTACTACTAAGAATTTTTTAAAAACTCAGTAATACTTTGCCCGACCCGGGAATCGAACCCGAGACCCCTTGCCCGGCAGTCGCACTTGCGACCACTCGGCCAACGAGGCAGGCAGTGATTAATTAAATAAAATGTAAATTGAGAAGTTTTTTTATATTTTTGCTTACACACGTTGGGGGCCCTCGTGGTCTGGGGCCCCATATAATTGATACGGCAGATATGGCGCTAGTTACGCCCCTGGTCAGACTCTTGCTGACTAAAAACCATCCCGTTCCTTCTCCTGCACGTCGAGCCGGAGCCCCGGTAACCCGTTAGGTTCTCCGCGACTTTTTTATGGAATAGGAGGCAAATGGGCAGACGGATCACCTGATGGTAAGCAATCAGCGTCGTTTGTATGTATATTTGTTACTCAATCATGTCAAAATGGCTGTAGGGATCGAATTGAAATTTGGAACTGGGGTACATTATGGTCTGTAGTAACACATATGCTACTTTTTCTCCCATGGGAACGCGGGCGAAGCCGTGGGCAGAAGCTAGTTGTGTCATAAATTAAACCGTACCTACCTCCTCTTTTCTTTTAGATTACTCATCCAACCACACACAAAAAATATTTATAATAATAACATCACGCGTTTTATTCCCAGGAGTAGGCAGAGGTGCACATTACGGCACTTAATGCCACTGTACAATGTAACACCCACTTTTCACTATTTATGTTATAAGTCCCAAGTAATAGGGGGTGAGCCTATTGCCTGAAGTTATAGCGTCAGGAAGGAAAACCCGACTTACTTTTATATAGAAGATTATATACTTAGGTATTATTTGGTTCATCACGCCTTTTATCCCCGAAGCGGTAGGCAGATGTGCACATTACGGTAATGCCGCTGTAACACCCACTTTTCACTATTCATGTTATAAGTCCCATGTAATAGGAGGGTGAGCCTATTGCCATATACCGGGTACAATTCCAAACGAAAACTATATAAAAAAATAACCTAATCTTTCACCCTCACTATCAAACATAAACACAAAAAAAACAACATCCATCTACAAATCCAGATTCTGGATTCTTTCCAGAAATCCAGAAGTTTTAGCAAACTGTTATTGTGCACTTAACAAAGATCGGACGTTTTATGGGTACCCATAAATTATGGCATGTTTACCCAAAGTGGATGAATCGTTCTGATCCAGCTACGTGGGTGGGCGGTGCCAAGTGTTTGAGGTTTTAGAAAAAATGTTATATATTAATTTTTTTAAGAATAATATATTTTATTTTTTGTTGACATTGTTATTAGATTTGATTTTATGACATGTATTATATTGTATTGTATTGGGTATTTTTTTAAGGGGGAAAATCATCGTATGACTGCTCCCGCCTGGGTGAGGCGAGAGGGAGTGTCAGACTCTTACTGACTAAAAACCACCCTGTTCCTTCTCCTGCACGTCGAACCGGAGCCCCGGTAACCCGTTAGGTTCTCCGCGACATTGTATTGGGTATACCTACTTATTGAACAGTGTATCAATGTATAACTCGTCGAGTACCGTCATTATAGACACAATTAAAGAACAATAGGTTGCGGTCACCGGTGACCGACGTACCTTATAAATACGTACCGTATAAATAGGGTACTCGACGAGTTAATGTGATTGTGTCACATAAATTTTGTCGTTATGAGACCAGTACTTTAGCAATGACTTTTATTTTAAATGTAATTCGATTTATTTTGTTTGAACGCGCTAATCTCCGTAACTACAAGTCTGATTTGAATAATTCTTTTTGTGTTGGATAGCGCATTTATCGAGGATGGCTATAGGCTATAAAACATCACGCTACGACCAATAGGAGCTGAGCAGAGCGTGTGAAACCGCGCGGAAGTAGCTAGTTATTAATATTTGCTTAGTCACTTGCCACTTTCATCTCTGCACCCCCTTAAGGTCGACTGTGAGACAATGCCCAAGGCATTAAGTCCACCTGTACATTTGTTACTGTACTAAGTCTTAAATAAATCGCGGGCCTGCGGGCGGCGAGCATGGGTGGCTCCCCGTCAGACCAGAAACAGACCCGAGCGTACGGCGCGTAGCGTTCCGCGCGCGCCTCACAGAGCCATCAGACCACCACAGATGCTGATTCGGAGTCGCGGAGAACCTAACGGGTAACCGGGGCTCCGGCTCAACGTGTAGGAGAAGGAAAGGGGTGGTTTTTAGTCAGTAAGAGTCTGACACTCCCTCCCGCCTCACCCAGGCGGGAGCAGTTCGATGATTTTCCCCCCTTAAAAAAAGTCTTAAATAAATAAATATCTTACAGTGAAAGTCGGGATTTTCACAGAAGGGTCCCTAGTTTTATACCTCTAATAAAGACAATAATATAATGTTTTTGTTGGCATTTCAAAACCATGGAACCTTGACATTTCAGCTCTAATACTAAGGCTTCATGACAGACTTGGTAATTACAGCGTAGGGTCGAAATTCAGTTAAATGTTCTGTAAAATTATATAAATTCATAACGTAATATCACGCCTTTTATCTCCGAAGAGGTAGGTGCACATTACGGCACTAAATGCCACTGTACAATGTAACACACACTTGTCACTATTTATGTTATGAGTCCCATGTAATAGAGGATATATTGCCTATTGCCATATACCGGGCACATTTCCAGACTCCGTGCTACTATTGAGATTAAAAAAAACCCCAGTAATACTTTGCCCGTCCCGGGATTCGAACCCGAGACCCCTTGCCCAGCAGTCGCACTTTCAATCGGCCAATGAGGCAGTATTATGTAATATAGGTAAATATATACAGAAGGACACACCACAAACACTGTGCTTTCACATGATTGGTTAAACACGGAAAAATATAGTATTCTTATAAAATATATACAAACACCCTGTACACACGAGGGGATGGGAACAGAACACGCTGTATCTACGATCAAAACAAGGATATTACAGTCTATTCTGTATTGGAGAACTGTGGGATAAAGAAAACTGTGGAGTTGCTAAGGAAATATGAATTAGATTTTGTTGGATTTAAAATAAGATGTATTTATTTTATACTAACTACTTCCGCGCGGTTTCAAACGGTTTGCTCAGCTCCTATTGGTCGTAGCGTGATGTTTTATAGCTTACAACCATCTTCGATGAATGCGCTATCCAACACAAAAAGTTCAAAAAGTAAAAAATTCAAATCAGGCTTGTAGTTACGGAGATTAGCGCGTTCAAACAAACAAACAAAAAAACAAACTCTTCCGCTTTATATAATAGTATAAAATATAAGATTTGATGGGTCGACGTTTGACCACTATCTCGCCTGGTGGTAAGCGATGATACGGTCTACGATGGAGCACGTCGTCCCATAAGCAACCTATTCACTCGGGCCTTGAAGACTCCCAGGTAATATAGCCTTCAGGAAATACAGACTCTGGCAAAGAATTCCACTCCTTAGCAGTACGCACAAGGAAGCTTGATGTGCGCGTCGTGCGTGTGGATGGGACAGATGTCCAAATAAATAGATTCATGGTAGATACCATATATCAGTACCAGTATATACCTACTTTAATTTAGTTTTCTTTTTTATATTTTTTGTAATTTATTTCATATTTGATTAATGTAATTGGTGTATACCGTGTTAATAAATAAACAATAAACAACTCATAACATCACGCCTTCTATCCCCGAAAGGGTAGACAGAGGTGCACATTACGGCACTTAATGGTACTTTACAATGTAACACCCACTTTTCACTATTTTTGTTATGAGGAAAATCATCGAATGACTGCTCCCGCCTGGGTTAGGCGGGAGGGAGTGTCAGATTCTTACTGACTAAAAACCACCCCGTTCCTTCTCCTGCACGTCGAGCCGGAGCCCCGGTTACCCGTTAAGTTCTCTGCGACTCCGAATCGGCATCGGCCCTGTTGGAACTAATACCTATAACTTGTTTACGAAATCCCTATTGAGCATTCGTACTTACAAAGTAACAACCTATCTAATACAATCGAACAGTCGGAAAAAAACAAAAGAAATAGTACGAACTCATCTCCACAGCTTTCGTTATTCTATTTTACTTTTACGTCCAAAGTTCATACAGAACGATTGCTCGTGATGTCGTTAAAATGACAAACAAACAGATCTGCCGTATCCCTACACTTATACATAGATACTTTTTTTTTAAGGGGGGAAAATCATCGAATGGCTGCTCCCGCCTGGGTTAGACGGGAGGGAGTGTCAGACTCTTACTGACTAAAAACCACCCCGTTCCTTCTCCTGCACGTCGAGCCGGAGCCCCGGTAACCCGTTAGGTTCTCCGCGACATACATAGATACTAGCGGTTAGACTTGACTTTGTCTGAATATTTCTAGACTATATTTAGAACTTTGTCATTCTCTCTCATTCAAGTGTGAGAGAGAGCCATGCTTCGGCACGAATGGGCCGGCTCGACCGGAGTGATACCAGGGCCGATTAGGAGTTTGAGGATCGTTGGGGATTCAGGGATTGGGGAGATTGGGGAAGGGCAGGGTAATTGGGCCTCCGGTAACCTCACTCACACGACGAAATACAACGCAAGCGTTGCTTCACGTCGGTTTTCTGTTCGTTGGTGGTATCACTCCGGTCGACCCGGCCCATTCGTGCCGAAGAATGGCTCTTTCACAATTAAATTAAACCACATTTAAATATCCCACAGTTAAATTAAATCTCCTATATGAGATTGGAGTCCATATAAAATCAAAGGAAAGACGTACCAAAGTACCATGAAGGTGTCCATCTGCTTTTAACAGTCAAGATTGTGTGAATGAATGTATGGATGACTGGATGAATGGGTGAATGATACTCACTCTGAAACTGATAGCACCACTGCAGTTGACATCAAACGCTTTGAACACATAGTGGGCATACAGCGCGGAATCTGGAAAAAATGCAATGTGGTTATTGTACTATTTTTATTGTATTTTTGTACTAGATGTCGGGCAAAAAGATCAGAATTATTAAATTAACTAAAAATCGCGGGTTACTCACGTGAATTTAGTAAGAAAAGCTCTACTAGTTTCGAACCACAGAGGGGTTCTTCCTCATGAGCAGCGTGTGCGACCGCGGCGATGTCGCGCAGCCTACTCGCGTATTTTTTTTTTATTATTTTTTTAGTTTTTTTACATTCTACTACACAGAGGTGGATTTAAACTTAGCTAATGCCCTAGACAAGTACCTCATAGGCGCCCTTAAATTTTTATGACGCCGCCATCTCTATTTGGTCATTTAAGCACAAACGTCACAGGGCCCCTCTGTAACCTGGCGCCCTAGCCACTTGCCAAGACCTTATGGATAATACGGCCCTGGCACTACATTTCACCTTATATGTTACCGGTTTCTATGTAGATTTAACAAGCAGACCACTTGTACGTAACGTGGAAAAAGTCACATTTGTACTTGCGAGGCGTCGAATCCTCATGCACGAAAAGCGGTCATCCTCCAAGTAATGTCCTGGCCACGAGGATCAACGGCGCGAACGGCGGAGCAGCGGGCGACGCGACAATTCGCAGCGTTTGCAGCCCACGGACAGACGCGTTTGTCGCCGCGAACACAGATAATGTCATTATAAGAGGCGGAACTTAGATTTTTAGAACGTTTGAATTTCTGACGATTTCGTAACAGATTTTAGCCAACCTCATAAAAAAACAAAGGTACCAACAATAAAATCTGAATGAACCTTCGTTCTCCTGTTGGCTACCACAGGTTACGGAGTCCATACAAAAAATATTAAGTTCTAAGTTTCATAAGACTGGCGCCGTACTTAAAAAGTCAAAAGTCAAAGCATTTATTTCAATTAAACCATAGTTTGGTACTTTTGAAACGTCAACAAATACAAAATAAATAATAGTCTGTCAGTCAGTCCGTCAGTGAAACTAGGTGAAGCTAGGTGCTCATTCCAAAAAGTAGATTCGAATGGAGAAGAACGAACAAGAAACTCCATTCGTTACTCTTTTTAAAAAAGTATGTTCTACAATGTACAAAGTATTAATCTACTGATTCATTCATTTGTTTCACTCGCCGCGCCGATGCAATTCGCTTGGTACATTTCGCCGGTTGCCGCTCTCTGTGGCTTGCTCAGTACATTTATCTATGTCTGTTTCAGTCGCTAAACGACTCACTGGTCGCACCGCGCGGATTTTCACTAGGGCGAATGTTCCGTGGTCAGGCTGTAATAGCTTAAGATGATTGCAATGCAATAATGGTCTACTCATTGAAATCTGTTTGCTCTGTACGTCATTAGGGAAGTCTATGTTCAGGAAAGTACGCCTTTTGGATATGAAGGTGATGATGATGATGGTAAATACTCACTTCCATGAGGGAAGAACTTCGCGTAGATGTCCTTAAACGATTCTTCTTGCACAACACCTTCTGGACATTCCTGGGGACAAAGAAGAAAATGAATTAGTCTCAGTAACCTCAGTATTTTTGTTTAAAGGGGAAAATCATCCAATGACATCTCTCGCCCGGATGAGGCGAGAGGGAGTGTCAGACTCTTACTGATCAAAAACCACCTCGTTCCTACCTTGTGCCTTCACCTAATAATCTTTTACTGCCGAGTTTAATAACCAGATCTTAATAAAAAATCTTGATTACGAAACCTTGATTTTTGCAAGAACGAATGTCAAAAATCGATCTCTGAAGATGTTTGATTGAGTTGCAGAACAGCTGTCAATCTCACCACAATACCAGATAACGCAGGCGATATTCAGTACACCAGTATATTGTGTTAAGACAGATGAACTCTCTGTTTCTCACTCTCATTTGTTTTAAAACAAAACTGTTTGGTAATAGCTCTGCGGTCTGCCCGTTATATGTCGAATGTGTAATCCCTTAATTCGGGTATGCGACATCGGGTATGCGACACCCACTAGAAGAGACTAGAAGAGTACGGGTGGTTTAAGTGTGAGAGAGCCATGCTTTGGCAGGAATGGACTGACTCGACCGGAGTGGTACCAGGACCCAGCAGAAAACCGACGTGAAACATCGCTTGTGTTGTGTTTCGTCGTGTGAGTGAGGTTACCAGAGGCCCAATTACTTCCCCCCTCCCATTCTCTGAATCTCCTATTATCCTCAAAAGGCCGGTAACGCACTTGTAACGCGTCTGGTATTGCAGGTGTCCATGGGCGGCGCCGATTGCTTACCATCAGGTGATCCGTCTGCTTGTTTACCTGCTTATCCCATACAAAAACAAATGTATTCTGCTCAGCCATCACCACCATGATTTACTATCCCAACATAATATCATAATGTCCCTATCCACAGTCGGGTAAACACTTGACCTAATATCGCAGTGACAGTAACAAAGTGAAGTATCTACAGTTATAAAGCAAGTTTTTATTGATTGTGTAAGGCTACATGTAAAAGGTGGTAGGTAGGGTTACTGCTAACAAAAGAGGGTAGACAGCGCTGTGTTGGGTGGGGTGTAAGTTATAAGCGAGCGTATTTTTAATATTATACATTTTTTTTGCATAACATATACATAACATCACGCCTTTTATCCTTGAAGGGGTAGGCAAAGGTGCACATTACGGCACTTAATGCCACTGTACTGTACAATGTAACACCCACTTTTCACTATTTATGTTATGAGTCCCATGTAATAGGGGGTGAGCCTATTGCCATATACCGGGCACATTTCCAGACTCCGTGCTACTACTGAGATTTTTAAAAACTCAGTAATACTTTGCCCGACCCGGGAATCGAACCCGAGACCCCTTGCCCGGCAGTCGCACTTGCGACCACTCGGCCAACAAGGCAGTCATTTTTTTTGCTTACCATTTAAGAAAGCTGAAGAAATTAGTTACGCTACGGTTCACACGTAGCGGGATAACGCTGATACGTACTATGAACTACGCGACACAAATTAAGCGCTACGAACTACGCTCTGCTATCAACTTGCCATTGAGCTACGCACTACAATATATTCGCGACGAGCTAAAAGTTACGCGCAACTGACTACGCGATGTGGATTACGTGCTACGAACTACGCACAACAAGCTACGCGCAACGAGCTACGCGCTACAAACTACGCGATACAATCGAAGCGCTACGAACTACGCTCTACTATCTACTGGCCATGATCTACATACTACAAGACATTCGCTACGAGCTACGAGTTACGCACAACTGGCTACGCGATATGGACTACGTGCTACGAACTACGCACAACAAGCTACGCGCAAAGGGCTACGCGCAACGAGCTACGCGCAACGAGCTACGCGCTACGAACTACGCGGTACAATCGAAGCGCTACGAGCCACGCTCTACTGTATACTAGCCATGAGCTCCGCACTACAAGATATTCGCTACGAGCTACGAGTTACGCACAACTGGCTACGCGATATGGACTACGTGCTACGAACTACGCACAATAAGCTACGCGCAAAGGGCTACGCGCAACAAGCTACGCGCAACGAGCTACGCTCTACGAACTACGCGGTACAATCGAAGCGCTACGAGCCACGCTCTACTGTATACTAGCCATGAGCTCCGCACTACAAGATATTCGCTACGAGCTACGAGTTACGCACAACTGGCTACGCGATATGGACTACGTCTTATGAACTACGCACTACAAGCTACGCGCTACATGGATGTCTGTTTAGGGCTGAGTAGAGTTAGCAACTTGACTCTACAGCTTTGATGGCCGGCTCTAGTGAATCAACCAATCCGAGCGCCACACGCTTTATACAATTATGATACGAATGCGATAGTTCTTCGTGTTTAGCACTTAGCACAATATCTGATTACGTTTTGACTTTAACAGTACGAGCTGTATAATTTCGTCAAAATTGAACATTTAAATTCTACGCAATAGCGTTTTTTTTGCCTGCACTTTTTTTTTACTGTTTTTGTGTACTGTGAAATGAAAGAGTGATGTGAGTGTGAGTGAAATGTAGAAAAACAGGGCACTTAAAATAGTTAGCATTTCTAAATAATTATGATTTGATTTTGTATTTATAGAAAGGTATTGTTTCATTGTAAGGTGCGAGTATATAACATACTGACAAGATTGAAGGCAAACATATTAATTACTAGCTGACCCGACCAACTTCGTACTGCCTAATATTTTCTCGGCTTTTAAACCTTCATTTCAAAACCAAAATTAGCCAAATCGGTTTAGCCGTTCTCAAGTTATAGCGAGACTAACGAACGGGATTTCATTTTTATTTATATAGATTACGGTAGATAGCTCTAGCTATTTATGCTTAGCACTCACATTTCTGACTAGCTTCTGCCAGCGGCTTCGCCCGCGATCTCAGGGGTAAAATGCCTATGTATCACTTCAGACCATAATCTACCTCTGTTCCGAATTTCATTCCGGTCCCTTCAGTGGTTTTAATATGACTGAGTAACAAACATACACATAAACTCACATATTTTCATTTATAATATCGAGTCAAGCTAATTTCAACCATTGGCCTTTCAGTTACAGCGTAATGTCTATGAATGAGTATTGTAAACGTTAGAGTAGACAAATACAATCAGAAATCACCGAATTGCTAAGCTATCGGGAGTTTCACGTGTTATTGTGAGTCAACCATAAAATAAAGACATATACTGTCGAGGAATATTTTTTATATAATTTTAAGGAGAATATTTCCGTCATATATGATTTCTATGCAGCTTTAACCAATAAGCCTGCACACGCGACGGAAGCTTAAAAAATGGAGTAACTTCTCCCGTTTTCCCAATATTTCCCTTCACTGCTCTGCTCCTTTTGATTGTAGCGTAATGAAAAGTAATACTATAACCTGCCCAAGAGTATGAAGAATAATTGTGCCAAATTTCGTTAAAATCCATCGAGTAGTTTTTGTTTCCATAACGAACATACAGACAGACAGACAGACAGACAAAAATTTTACTGATTGCATTTTTGGCATCAGTAGCGATCCCTAACCACCCCTTGATAGTTATTTTTTAAATATATTGTATGTACAGAATTGACCTCTCTACAGATTTATTATAAGTATAGATTACGTTTAGACAGTACGATCTTTATAGTTTCTTCAAAATATAACATAAAAAAAATATTTCCTTAGAATCTCCACCGCCTATAACTCGCTCCGAGCTCGCTTTCACATCAAACACGTTACTCAGGAAGTGAGCCGACACGCTGTCACTTTTTAACCGACTGTTGTGACAAAAGAAGTATTGTGTTCGCGAGAGCCAGCTGTATACTTACCTAAGTATGTTTGAAAAAGGCCGTGTGTGTGTGTGTTTTGCTAATTATTGTGATGTGTCAGTGGTGTATAAATAATCTTAGAAAGTACATAGTATAACTTGGAAATAGTCACATTTGTAATAGTCGTTGGTGGGTTTCGAACCCTCGCCTTCATGCATGAAAAGTGGGTGTCTTAAGCCTCCGGGCCACCACGACATATCCCGACCGAATTACCTGATGGTAAGCAATTTGCGCCACCCATGGACATACGCAATACTAGAGGAGTACACGCAGTTGTTTCACATCAGTTTTCTGCTCGGCCGTGGTATCACTCGTGCCGAAGCATGGCTCTCCCACAATTGAAATTAGCATGTAACAGTAATAATTAATTTTACACTGATCTTTGAAAACTCATTGATCTCTTTCCTATAAGCACAGATCTTTCAAAACATATGTCATTCATTCAAAAAACTCAACGAATACAATTTTTCTCAAAGAATAGCTGATACAAAATGGACGTATTTTTGCAGACACAATGTAGCCACACTTTTAAATGTCAGGGCAGACGTTTGAGCGACGTTGACAGCCACTTCTGTTGTGTAGCCTCTGCTTTCCTTGACACTTAACCAAAAATAGTTACTTTTATATCTCTCTGTTATGTTTCTAAGTTGTAATATACATTTGTTGGTGAACGGGAAGGATTTTTATGGGATGAGGTTGTGAACGAGATCATCGTCAAACGGATCACCTGATGGTAAGTAATTGGCACCGCCTATGGACACACGCAACATTAGAGATTCATAAGTGAGTGGTTTTTTTTTTAAAGTGGGAATATCATCGAATGACTGCTCCCGCCTGGGTGAGGCGGAAGGCAGTGTCAGACTCTTACTGACTAAAAACCACCCCATTCCTTCTCCTGCACGTCGAGCCGGAGTCCCGGTTACCCGTAAGGTTCTCCGCGACATAAGTGAATGGCTAGGTTTTAAAGACAAGGAGGGTTTAGGCCTTCTGTAACTTAACTTGTGGGGGATCCATGCCTGGCAATGCAACGCTTACGTTGTTTTTCGTCACGTGAGTGAGGTTACCAGGGCCTAGTTACCAGTGAAAGCGTTGGTATCCCGGGATGTAAAGTCTAAACATGTAAACTAATTAGATGGCTAACTGCTTTATTTGTCATTCTGTCCTTGCTGTTAATTAATTTAGTTATTCTAAAT